GAATAAGGTACAGAGAAGGCTGACTTCTTGGTTTTTCCTATGATTTTCCTATGATTTTGGCGTAACCCGTAATTCGACATCAAATGCTCACGCCATGGTCCTAGCCAGTGCGCATTTGAGAGGCATTCACCCCCCTGATAATATTCAAAATGGTGGACGTCCAGGAGGAGAACGCCTCCCAAACGCGCACTGGCTAGGACCATGGCGTTATCATTTTGATGATGAATCATGGCGTGGCAGCGGTTACTCAAGTCGACCTTCTGTGTGCCTTATCCTGTGGTCACACCCTTTGTCTCCCTGCCGACTACGCATTAAGCCTGGTTCACATATGCCTGCGGCATGCCTGCGACTGTATTATTATGCCTCTACTTGCCGCCGAAATACCGGCAAAGTTGAACTCAGCTCAACTTTCCCGGCCTACCGCCGATGTAAGTAGGGAGCTTAAGCATGTAGGACGGCAACACGACGACAACGGCCAAAACAAATTACTTCAAATAAATGATAGTAAAGAAAACTTATCGTATATTATAATTCGTATGAATTTAATACAGTATAAGAAGCTGAAAACATTGGCTTTATGTTTGAGAAGAGTTCCGTTGACCGAACTTTAAGTTGCACTTGTTACGGCTTGAAATGCAGGCGTTGTATAAAAGACGTGAAAATATGTGATTTGCCGTTGTAAACAGAGCGACGACCACGTCTGAAACTCCCCTGGGACTTCAATTATTTATTCACTTTTCATTGACTCATTGTATTGATTGCCGTCGTCGTCGTGTTGCCGTCCTACATGCTTAAGCCCCCTATTGTGGCACTGGAGGCAATCGGCGAACAAATATTCACATAATTTACGTTTTAAGCTACCACCGGCATCGTCGCCGGTACGTCGCAGGCACGTCGCTGGCATATATGTGAACCAGGCTTTAGGCAAGTGCCTCACGCACATAATCGTGCAAGGAACAGCAACAGTTAGCTCAGAGCCGTCAATAGTTTATCATCCAATCTCTGAGTTGTTGCATCATTTAAATTACGCATTTACGCTCGTACAGTCTCCGATTTTATACTAATACAGTTAGCGTTTTTGTTGTGGTACGTTAAAAGATAGATTGCGCATGCGTAACTTATTAAAGCGCAAAAAGTGCGCATGTGCAACAAGCTTTTACATCCCACAAGCAAAGGAGCAAATGTTTTAGCTTAAATTCGCTTATTGCAAGTGGCGCATGTTTGTCCACTTTTAAATAGGAGCGCAACTATGCTATTAAAAACTAATAGCATGGCTTTTCGGGAGATTGGTGATTAAATGACCCCTTACCCTCGGCAGGTTTGCGGAATTCCCTCGGGCTTCGCCCTCGGGGATTTCGCAACCTGCCTCTGGTTACGGGGTCATTTAATTTAATTTAATTTAATGATTTCATTTAATCTATTACTTATAATAATCTATCTCTAGAAGATAATGAAGTTTTTTGCTGAATTTTGCACCGTGACTGTTTCAATGCATCGAAATCATCCTGCCATATATTTCGTCCTGGCACAGTGGGTTCATATATTAAACAGCCCGTTATTCAGCAAATTGCGCATGCTGCCTTTGATCCCTTGGGGGTTAGGCAGCACTTTCCTTGCAATAGTAACTTCTAGTCTTTAACCCATTAACTATGGTCTCGGTGACGTCAGAAGCGGGTTAGCCTAATATAATTACAAGTTGCATCCAACAGTTATTTAAAAACCAACAGCAAGTTTTAGGATCATATTGATCGCCGGCAACACTATAGTGACGTAACAAGCATATCCTCAATAATACATGACGGTAAACAAGCGTGCCTTTTTTCAGTCAAGATATTTCAAGAATGAAACAAAACATGAAATAGTGGTAAAAATTTATTCTTAATTACCCTGAAACATTAATTATTATTTAGAATCTATTCTAAATTATTCATCAAATCCAACAATTCGGACTTTTACCTAGACTAGTCCTTACAATTGTTCATTCCTCTGCTTCGCCTCAGACTGAACCGAAATAGTAAAATATTAATTTTCCTCGAATAACCTTTATTCGCTCCTTGGTGTTTGAAAGGCCGGTTTTTTTCGCTTATATTACTCCGACCCCTTTATCAGTCTTACATCCTCTGCAAATAGCTAGCTGGGAGTCATGCATATTTTTCGGGCTTATGACTCATATAGTATCTTTTTATATAGTTTAGCTTGAAAGGCTTAAAATCGACAAGACTTCATTCGCTAAAACATCACTCCAGAACACTGTGTTAACTAAAATCAACTTTGATACCGTCTGCCGTCCTGCATTGCACTATATAGGTATAATTTGAATTACCATGCAAATGTCTGCATCAGCTGCTGGCGAAAAGGTTTTGAGTAAACTCAGGAACCACAAGAATAATTTTGTGGACATAAGGTTTGACATGCTTTCATAAATTGTTGACTAATGCATGTAGCCAAAATAAACAAATGCAATTAAAAATTAAACTAGCTAATGAGAAAATTTATTTCTAGTCCTATATAACAATATGTTAATTAAACAAAATGTCATAAAACAAAGTCCAAAGAATGCATCTTGACATAGAAAGATATGGAATTATACATTCATGGAATACCGTAAACCTCCAACTATAAGCCCTGCCCCTGGGCATATATTAGATAGCTTAAGATCTACAACGTCGACGTTAGCTAGGACGTCAGGGCTAAGCAGAGGACTGGGACTACATTAGGACGACATCCTAGTCCCAATCCTCTGCGTAGCCCTGACGTCCTAGCTGACGTCGACGTCGTAGATCTTAAGCTATCTATTCTTTCGTAAGCGATTTTTGATGGGCTTATACAAGGGGGGGGGGGCTTATATACGGGGGTTTATACATGGACGATCTTTAGCGTTAGTGCAATAGTGATAAACAAGTATAGTAATAGTGATAAACAAGAGTTTTAAGCATATAGTGATTAATAGTGGTAATATAGTGATAAACAATAGTGATAAACAAGTGGGCTTATATTTGGGCCGGGGGGCTTATATTTGACATGAGGTGAGCGTTAGTACATGTGGTGGGCTTATACACAGGGGGGACTTGTATTCGGGGTGGGGGGCTTATACTCGCAGGTTTACGGTAGTGGATTTTGTTGAAAAAAATATTTGTGAGTTACAGCTGCTTGACTTAAGTATGCAAATGTACGTATTAATCCTGAGTAGGTTTTAAAAATAAGCCGTATGCTTTTCCTCTAAACAAAGATAATCACAAAAATATAATACATCAATAACCAAAATCGTTCCGCAAAACATACAATTTATAAAAGTATTAAAGCATATTAAAATGACATAGCAATATTGTAAACAACATTTTATTTGCTTTCATGACCTATCGTCTTCCTATTGAAAGTATTATTAAACTTTCTCCATATAAACAAAATAACTAGGCTATATTTATTTTTTTTCTTGCGGTCCGAAGTCATATTTTACGCTTTTCTGCAATCTGATTGGCTACGTGAACCCGTACGTATGAGCCCGTACGTATGAGCCCGTACGGACCGCGCGAGATTTAAAGCCGTAGAGCCAATGTTTCTATTTTTAAAAATTTAAAGACGAGTTGAAAGGCTACTTTTTAAAATATTAAAATGTCTGGAGACGACGAAGAACACAGTGAAAGCGAATTTTACTATCTCACCAAAGATATTATTACTCTTCCCGATAGCATTGATAGAAACGACGTTTTATTTAGCAGCTTCATTCGCGTGCGGGAGGAGTGATTGGGGAAATCCAGAGGAGGAATAAAAAAAAATATTTACCGGTATGGTCGGTCCGTATAGAGAAATATTTCTCTCGGTCTTAAAAACGTGAAATATTTCTCTATACGGACCTCCATTCCGGTAAATAACATATATATAATGGCGTTCAATATATAATGGTGCACGTAGCCTATAATATAGCACGAATGCAGCAATTTTTAATTTTTTATATTTTTTACAAAACGAAAAAAATAGGTCAAAGATTAGTGCCTTTAACTATACAACAGCGTCGGTGAATTTTCGAAATATATACGACAATAATATAGGTTCGATTCCCACCGTGGCCGGGCATATTTTTCAAGCTCGTCCGGTGTGAATATACACTCAGAGTAACATCACAAAGTCATAATATGTTATTATGTGAGCTTTTGATTTTAACATGTTATTCAGTTGCACTTTGTGAGCTAATTTTGATGTGAAATTTAAACTCGAACGCTTCGTAAAATCTTTTGAAATGTTCATGCAGGGCCGTAGCAACCGGGGGGCTGGAGGGGGCTGTAGCCCTCCCCAATAATTTGCTAATAATCATTCTTTTTTCAAAATCATACAGACATTTATCGATTTTAAGCTTTATTAATTTTAAGCGGCTATATTATCCATGACAGACTGCAAAGAATGAAGATATTACCCATACTTTCCTGCAAATTATCCAATATAGGCTATAGTTAATTAAATACGCCTTTGCCAATTTAGTACCACCAAATTGTAAAGTTCGACATACTAAAACGCTATTTTCTGACCATCAGAATTCTGTCAAATCTTCCCCAAAGTCCAGGAAATGGCATTTCAGAGACTCTAAACCTTCGCCTTGCTGACAAAACTACCATTATATTTTGAATTCCTAATATGAATTATTTAAAGTAGTTGTCATAGTAACATGATAGTTTTATTAAGAATATTTTTATAATTGAAAAATGCCCTAAAAATATCACTTTTAATTACAAAATTATCAATATAATTTCCCAAACATATATACATGTTTGGTATGTTATTAGAGGTAATATAAACTTCAATTTAATGTCAAATTCGTATATATATATATATATATATATATATATATATATATATATATATATATATATATATATATATATATATATATAAGATTTGGTTTCGTTGGTTATAAAACCTTTTGGTAAAGTGCTCAATGGAAAACCAGAGCATATTTAAATTAAGGTACAACAATCAACAAAATCCACTAGGCATCTTTATTACTAAATAGTTTCGTACCACAAAATGTGGCACTCTTCTTCTTCTTAGGTCAATTTATCTGAAGAGTGCCACATTTTGTGGTACGAAACTATTTAGTAATAAAGATGCCTAGTGGATTTTGTTGATTGTTGTACCTTAATTTATATATATATATATATATATATATATATATATATATATATATATATATATATATATATATATATATATATATATATATATATATATATATATATATATACATACATAAATTTGTGTTATTGTTCACTCGGTAATATGATAAGGATGAAATGTTCTCGAGTGAGATAAATCGTAATCTCCAGACAGCGCGCAGGCAGAAAACTACTTTGCCTGCCGCGGCTGGGCTTCGAACCCGCGACCCCCGCCGGAGCCAACACATCATCGCTCTACCATTGTCATTGAGCTATACACGGTCACGACGGATTGAAGACTGAAAATTACGAACCATACACTGAATGTCATAAACATACTCGTTTATATTAATCCAGCATCGAATATACTAGTTCTCTAACATTTGTAGAACATATATACGACGACATGCTGATTAGCCAGTCAAAAGACATTATTTATTAATGTTGTTTTACAGTAACAACACTAAATAATATATCAATCTAATAATCTAACAGGGAAATAAAGGTATTGCATGTATGCAAAGGGAAAAGTTTCTTTTTTCGGCATTGTATATCCTTGTTTATAGTTTTATGTTGTTTCAGTTATTAAAAATATCGTATAAAGTCTAGTCAGAGTAATTCCTGCGTTTGAAATTACTAGACCTAATTCCATATACTTTAAAACCAAATTGTAGCTCCGAACAGTTTTGCAATATTTTATGTATATGAGGTATAGCTATATAATGATTATGGCCAATGTAATTATCAAACTTTTGTGTATGTCAATAAGAAACAAACGGTCGTTCATTCGTTCGCGTTAGTTACGATTAAGGAAAGAAATTAACCGGTATAAAAGTTAGAAACCAACGTAGACAGAAAGTTCCCAGCAATTATATACTCAGGACTTTGACATATCTTCGTGACGGCTGTGTATATATATAGTTACAATTGCATGTGAACAACGACAAGAGAAATCATTAACAAGCTTCTAATTAGTACATTCTTCTGTCTTCAAACAAACGTTTAATTTGTACAAGTTTTACTTATATATCACGTTTAAGAATTAAAAGTGTAAGAAAAGGCAGCTTACCAAAAATCGTGACTTTCTCTCCTTCAAGTTAATTTTAATTATTGCGTCCATCAGGTAACATCAGAAGAATACGAAATGCCCTAAGCAGGTGTTGGCAAACTACGATGAAATGAGTTTTTCTCTTAACTGCCCACGGTTAATAAATTATGCACGAATGCTGTACTAAGGTCTAAGACTAGTAAAGTGAAAATAAACCAAATCCATGCAATGTCCTGCCAAATTATCCACTGCAGCAATGCTTTCAAAAGTAAAATGGATATTTCAGTGTTTTTCTCAGTTGTATCAGTTAAAAGATGTAAAAGTTGAAAAGAAATCCTAATTCGCTCGATCCCATATAGCGAACGTCTTGACACCGATATGCCTGTACACATAGCATTTAATTGTAGTATTGTATGGCTATTAAGAAGTTTTAATTTGGTTTTCCCGCGTGAGGAACTCGCGTTCCTGGCAGAAAGGCGAGATGAATATTTTAGCATGCATATAGTAAATACTTTCCACAGCCACAGCCACAGCCGGAAACTTGGCAACCTGCCTTGTATTTGAAATATTAAAGCTCAAAAATACACAAGGGTTATTAGTTAAGTTTTCCTGAATTTCTTGTATATTTACGACATTTTGTAATGATTTTAAACATTTCAAACGACTAAAATCCTTTTTGTGTTTTGGCGCCATTTTGGCATCAAGTTGGCAACATAGGTTTTTTACCATTTACATGGAAATTCCGGTGATTCCATACGGAAAATAAATGGAACAACCATATTTCGACGGCCCAACCGGAACTTTTCCGGAATGAACGGTTTGTTTGAAAAGGTTGTCCTCTCTTACCGATTGGAACGTTTCAACCGGTAAATGTTGCTCCATTTACATTTTTTTTATTTTTTCACCAGTTCCAGTCTCTTCTCGATTTAACAATTGAAATTATTAAATGGAAAGCACATAATCCGAATGGGATTTTCCTTTCCAAATTTCGCTTACCATTAGCACAATTTGAAACCGGATGGGTTTTCCATGTAAATGGTAAACAACCATAGAGTTCACTGGTTGGCAATCAGCTCAGTGCTTCCACGTCTATGGACATTTTCATATTTTATGGATTTTTTGAAGTGAAGTGGAACTTTTGTGGAACTAGAAAAATGAATCAATATCCAGAAAATATTGTTCATCCAATTTTCAATGCAAAGTTGCATATAATAATATTATACATAATATGGACATAGGATTTCCTAGATCTGTATACATTTGTGCTCTGCATATGGCTCTGTTCTTATCACCTTCTTATCAACCTTATCCTTTTTATCCCAACTTTAAAGTATATGCTGAAACGACGGCTATCTTTAAAAGCATGAACGGGGAATCTGGGAACGGAATGGGGAATGCGGAAAACAGGAACGCGAAAAGCGGGAATCTTTAAAAACAGGAACGCAAAAAGCGGGAATCTTTAAAAACAGGAACGCGAAAAGCCGGAATCTTTAAAAACAGGAACGCGAAAAGCCGGAATCTTTAAAAACAGGAACGTGAAAAGCCGGAATCTTTAAAAACAGGAACGCGAAAAGCCGGAATCGTTAAAAACAGGAACGCGAACAGTCGGAATCTTGAAGCAGGAACACGTAAAGCCGGAATCTTTAAAAACAGGAACGCAAAAAGCTGGAATCTTTAAAAACAGAAACGCGAACTCTCTTCATTTTGATAGTATTTTGAGCCCAAAAGCCCCATAATATTTTATTTTGAACGTTTTAAAGCGCAGTTTAATCCTAGCCGGCTGAACGCCGGACGTTTTATTTGTAGGTCGCATGTGTCTGATTGTATAAAATCCTGAACAGGGGTCATTTAATATACTAACTGAAACTTCGAAACTGAGCCACCTACCTGCAATACAAACCTAGCCAATTTGAGAGCGGCAGCACTCTGCCCTTGACAAGCAAAATCGACTGGTATGAGACATTAAACTAATAAAGTAGGGTGCATGATTGCCATTAATTTGGGCACAAGCAAGTCAGTGGGAATCTTTAAAAATAGGAACACGAAAAGTATGATTTTATAGTATGAAATTATTTTTAGTGAAGTCGGTCTCAATTAGTGAATATATATCTTAAAAATTTCGATTTCCCAATACTCGGGTAATGTACTGCTTTGTTGCCTTTAAATGGAAAAGGCGCAAAATCTTTACAATGTAGTTGAATTTCTGGCAATCGTATATTGTTGTTTTGCGCAAAATGGTTCCTAAATATAGGAGTATTATCCGGCCGGTGCCAATCTGCAGAAAGCTGCAGTCAAGCAAGATGTATGGAAATACTATACACCTCCAATATTTGTATATTCAGAAACAATTCACACAAAATCCAACCTGTCATCTATAAAGTATATATTTAGAAAGCCAAAATTTTAATGATATATTATAATAAATAATGAATTACAAGAACTGGACTGTGCAGGCCTCAAAGTGGCGGGTTTCGAGTGCTTGCTCGTGAAATATATCACTGGCCATTATACATGTGGTTTGTAGACCGCACCAATATTGCATCAACAGTGCCTTCATAAGTTTTCTCCTCAGTCAGTGGAGATATATCCGAATTTCGAAAGCTGACGTGACGTTCAATGGCCACACACAACTTCACAAGAGCAAATGAACAGTGCAGATTCAGCAGATCTTAAAAATATTCCAACCCTTACAGTACATCCATACAGTATGTGCATATCGCTGATATTAAACAAATGATTATGAAATACAGCGTATAAGAAATCTATAAACTATGTTCATGAAATCGTATATAAGACCTGTTTCAAACGTCGCATTTCGCATGTTTCCAATTCAATTGCTTGAATTATGTGCATGCAAAATTCGACGTCTGAAACGATTAAATGCAACGTTTTTAATTGCGGTCGACCTTAACTTTAAATTCGATCCGACCGGTCGCATAATGCGAGATAATTATTATTATTATTATTTATTATTATTATTTAATTTTATTTACACACATATACAACGGTAGTCCTTCAGCAAGTTTATCTACAGTTCCTTGTAGCTGATTTTCAAGGGGCCGTTGATTAATAATAAGGGAAGAAAATAATGAAAATACACGAATATATATATATATATATATATATATATATATATATATATATATATATATATATATATATATATATATATATATATATATATATATATATATATATATATATATATATATATATAACACACGAATAATCCCCCCCCCTTCCTTCACTCAGTCCTCCCACCCACCCTTATAATAAAACATTAAAAACTTTAACAATCTACGTTTGTCTGTCTCGGAGTAGCGCTTTAAATCTTGTTAATGTTATACCATTATCTTTAAGTTCTGTTGGCAGTTCATTCCAAATATTTACTCCTGAAGTGCGACCTGTTTCAGACGTCGCGTATTTCATTCATTTGTTTAATATCAGCGATATGCACATACTGTGATGGATGTACTGTAAGGGTTGGAATATTTTTAAGATCTGCACTGTTCGTTTTCCCTTGTGAAGTTGTGTGTGGCCATTGAACGTCACGTCGGATGTATAAGTTAAATCTCCACTGACTGAGGAGAACATTTATGAAAGCACTGTTGATGCAATATTGGTGCGGTCTACAAACCACTCTGTATAATGGCCATGTGATATATTTCACGAGCAAGCACTCGAAAGCCACCACATTGAGGCCACAGTCCGGATCTTATAATTCATTATTTATTAGAATATATCATTAAAATTAGGGCTTTCTAAATATATACTTAGATAACAGGTTGGATTTTGTGTGAATTGTTTCTGAATATACAAATAGGTGTAGTATTTTCATACATCTTGCTTGACTGCACCTTTCTGCAGATTGGCACCGGCCGAATAATACTCCTATATTTAGGAACCATTTTGCGCAAATCATAACATACGATTGCCAGAAATTCAACTAGATTGTAAAGATTTTTGCGCTTTTTCTGCCATTTAAAGGCAACAAAGCACTACATTACCCGAGTATTGGAAAATCGAAATTTATAAGATATATATTCACTAATTCACACTGACTTCACTAATCATGCAGTTTCACACTATAAAATCATATACTTTTCGCGTTCATGTTTTTAAAGATTCCGGCTTTTCGCGTTCCTATTTTTTAAAGAATCCGGCTTTTCGCGTTCCTGTTGTTTAAAGATTCCGGCTTTTCGCGTTCCTGTTTTCAAAGATTCCGGCTTTTCGCGTTCCTGTTTTTAAAGATTCCGGCTTATCGCGTTCTTGTTTTTAAATATTCCGGCTTTTCGTGTTCCTGTTTTTTAAAGATTCCGGCTTTTCGCGTTCCTGTTTTTAAAGACTCCGACTTTTCGCGTTCCTGTTTTTAAAGATTCCGGCTTTTCGCGTTCCTGTTTTTAAAGATTCTGGCTTTTCGCGGTCCTGTTTTTAAAGATTCCGGCTTTTTGCGTTCCTGTTTTTCGCATTCCCCGTTCCGTTCCCAGATTCCCCGTTCCTGCTTTTAAAGATAGCCCTGAGACAACTTGCTGGTTTGCCGGTCAAAATTAAGGCATTATTTATTATTAGTATAAATTCAGAATTGAAAAATGCTTTCAAGCGTTCTGATTGGCTCCATGCATCAGAAGTAATTAACTCTGAGCACGCGGTTAATATATAGACAGTGAGGTCTGAGCCAATAGTTACTGCTCAGACCGCTCTGAGCATATATAGAGAATAATACATGGGTGCGCGGAAATACCAGATTTATTTCGAGTGTTGAACATGATATCTCACAAGTGAGCGCAGCGAACGAGTGAGATATTATGTTCAACACGAGAAATAAATCTGGTATTTCCA